GGGTTTATATCTTCTTGGTTAAGTATTCGTATTCATATGTATCTAAGAATTTATCCATTTCTTCTGGATTCTCCAGTTTATTGCAATATATGTTATTAAAATAGTTTCTTGTAATTATCCTCTGGATTTCATTGGTATCCATTGTGATTTCACATTTTCAATTTCTAATTGCTTTGATATGAGTCTTTGGTATGTTTGGCTAAGAGTTTATCTTGTTTATCCTTTCAAAGAACCAACTCTTTGATTCATTGATTATTTGTATTTTTTCTCAACTATTAATTTCTGCTCTGATCTTTAGCATTTCTTCTGTAAGTCTTGGATTTGAGTTATTTTTGTTTTTGTAGGAAATTGAGGTCCATCATTAGATTATTTGGGATCACTCTTTTTCTAATGTGAGTGTTCATGGCTTTAAACTTTCCTTTTAGTACTTTCATTATGTTGCATAGTTTTGGATATGTTTTGTCATTTGACTCTAGGCACTTTTAAATTTCTTCTTTGATGTGTGTGTGTGTGTGTGTGTGTGTGTGTGTGTGTGTGTGTTTGTGTGTGTGTGTTCCATTGAGCTAAATTCCCAGCTCTGGGGTCTCATCTTTTTAAAAAGTTTCTGCTCTGCCAGAGAAATCACAAGCAGAGCTGAGAGACAACCCACAATGTGGGAAAAAATTTTACCAGCTGTTCCTCAGACAAAGGACTACTATCTAGAATATACAAAGAACTCAAAAAAAATCAGAAACCTCAAATATAAAGATCAGATTCAAAAATGGGCATCTAAAATGAACAGACATTTCTCAGACACAGAAGTAAAAGCAGCAAATAAAAATATAAAAAAACGTTCAACTTCACTGGTCATTTGAGAGATGCAGATGAAAACAACACTGAGATTCCACCTTACCCCAGTAAGAATGGCTGCTATCAAGAAATCAACCAATAATGAATTTTGAAGGGGTTGTGGGGAGAAAGGAACCCTTCTTCCTTGTTAGTGGGAGTGCAGACTGGTTCAATCACTGTGGAAATGTGAAGATACCTCCAGCAACTAGGATTAGAAGTCCCATTTGACCCAGCTATTCCTCTGCTGGATGTCTTCCCAAAAGAATTAAAAGAATCATCACAGTGATACATACCCATGTTTATAGTGGCAATTTGGAAACATCCCAGTTGCCCATCAACTGAAGACTGGATTAAAAATGATGTGGTTTTAAAATAAAATGGAGTACTACTCATCCATAAAGAATGAGAAACTAGAGACATTTATAGCTAAGTGGATGTGCGTTGAGACCATGCTCTTAAGTGAAATTATTAAGTCACGTGTGAATACCAGATAGTTTCCCTGGTGTGAAAAACTAAAAGTGTAAATATGAATCGAAATGTATAATTGATATTATGTAATAGGAAGAAAAGGTCTAAAGGAGTAGAGGCAGTGGTAGGGTTAGGAGAAAGATAAAAAGGGAAAAGAAAAAATATGTGAAAAGGAGAATTATGGAAACAATATTTTTTTAAATGGGGCAGGGTGAGGGAGGTGAAGAGAGAGCTGGGGAATGAGGAAAAATAAGAACCAAGATAAGCCACGTAAAGGTACAAGATCCCAATGATGAATGTAACTATCATATACCTAAAATACCAATAAACTTAATAAAGATAAAACCTCTTTTAAAAAAAAAAAAGTATGTGGGTCTGGTCATCTTGTCTCCATCTTGAGGCCTGGTTTTCAGTTGATGTGCAGCTGTGGTGTGTTTCACCTTTTTCCTGGCCCTCTCAAAGATTTAGCACTGACTGCCTATAATATTTCTACCTAGCTCATTATTTATAATACTATAATATTATACCTTTTGTGTTATCTTCTAAACTTTCCTTAATTTGTACAATTCTTAGGTTGGTTTTTTTTGAGTCATATAGCTACTGTTGGTTCAAGTTTCCATGGTATTTCACTATTTTTAGGATATTACTGAGTACATGATCTATTATATCAATTTTATCTTTTAGTTCTGACACCTTCTCCTCACCTTACCCATTTCTGCTTCTTTGATATCCTGCTTTTTTGTATACTGGATATCTACTTAATTTCTTTTCATAATCTCTGATTCTTTACTAAAATGGTCATTTGTATCTTGTGTAATTCAGTCATCAGCCTTTGTATCTTCTTTAAGGTCATTAGATATTTTATTAATTAAATCCTTTATCTGTTTGTTTACATCTTTTTTTTTTTTGTCTGTTTCTTTTGAGACAGGGTCTCACTATGTAGTTGAGACTGACCTCCAGGTTGGTCTTGAACTCATAGCGATCCTCCTGCCTCAGCCTCCCGAGTGCTGGGATTACAGGTGTGTGCCACCACACCCGGCTAGATTTTTGTTTTTGTTTTGTTTTGTTTTGTACCAGGGATCGACTTGGGTCCTTGTGCTTGTGAGGCAGCCAATGGAACCACTGAGCTAAATCCCCGGCCCTATTTACATCTTGAGGTCCCTGAACATCTTACAGATGTATTTGTTTCTTCTTTGATCTCTTCAGATATTTAACCATTTGGTTTTTGAGTTCTTTGCCTGTGACTTCCTCCACTTTGGTTTCTATGAGATTGGCTTTTGTTTTCTCCTATTTGTGTTGTTTTGTACTGAGGGTTGAGGATCTGTTAAGAGTAGGAAAACTGCCATTACTGTGGCCATCTCTTATATTCGTATATGTTTCCCTGTGGTGTGACTTTGTCTTTGATTATGTTTTGCTGTTTATATACCTAGGTAATTTACTCAATATAATCAAATCAGTTATAGTTGCTGTGTGGTAAGGAGAGAACCACTATAGGTTATTTCAGCATCTTCAGAATGAACCATAAATCAGTCATGTAATTTAAAATTTAACAACTTCATCATTTTTTCGGTAACCCAGAAAGACTGTGGTGTAGTATCATTGACAAGTATGGTGGCATATAGAGGGTGAAGGAAAGGAAGAGAATAGTTCAGAAAGTAGGAGAGTAGAAAAAAGAATAATAAATAAAAGAAAATAATGAGATAGGACTTCGTTGATATTATTTTTGTCTCTGGAGTGAAGGACTGGTGGAGAGGAAGTTTGAGAGGTTACTTGCAGGGGGAGGAAAAAGAAGAGGGAGGCAAATATACTTGGAGATGGAGGGAAGTTGTGAGAAGGTCTGAATTATGTGCTATAGAAAGCTCGTGTTTGAATCCTCTATACACCATTTTTTTGTGAGGAGTAACCTGACATGCCAATAAAGTTAAATACTAATTGTTATTCCCCTTCCACATATACAAACACCTCCCATACATGTAAAGAAAATAGAAGAGGGGGAGGTGGAGAGAGAGGGAGGGGGACAGAACCACACACATACAAAGAATCCCTATACCTATCAGTGTCCTATACCTACTGTGTTCATAAATGGAGAGACTGACTTGCGGCAGTTTGGAGGGCCTGAGGTCTAGTGAGTGAGTCAAGGAGGTTGGATGTGTTTGGTGGAACATGAGCTGTTCCCCTCTTATGATTTCTTCTCTTGCTTGCCGGTGAGTGAAGAGGCTTGGGGGCCCAGATTTTGGGGCTCTCAGTTTCTCTAGTGCCCTGATATGTGAATATCTCCTTTGCCAGGCTCCCTCTCCCACTGAGGAAGAAGTTAGTACAGAAGGGCACTGGACAGTGTCTGCTGGGCACTGGACAGCCTGACTGATGCTGCTATACTAGGCTTTGCCCCTCGATTAGCTGTTTTTCCAAGATGCCTTGTTTTCTGGACCTGGTGTAAATGAAGTTTTTCAAAGGTTGGCCCTGCTTCTTTTTCTAAATATCCTCGATACTAGAATTCATCTGGGGGGGCTTCTTCAAATTTCCTTTCCATTTTCGGGTCTTTGTTCACCTCCCTATTTCCAAGTAGCTGTGCTTGCCAAGGTGCTCCTTCCAGGTTAAGGTACTGCTGTCTCTACATTATATGGTGGGATCTTGTGATTTTTATTTTCAAATGAGGGGATTGGATGATAATTTGCTCTGTTGAGATCCCTTTTAATTATTAAATTTTGGTAAAATAGGCAAAATGAAAAGAACGGTCATCTGGGCTCCTTAGTTGTGATTATTTTGTGACAGATGAATGAAATAGAGGTAAATATGAAATTTCTAGTGATTAGAAAATAGAATACAAAAAATTTAAAAGCTGTAATTGTATTACTTTCTTTTTCTATAAAACAAGATGATTAATAATGTTAACAATTAATGTCTTTTAATTTAACTGCTTAGATACTTTATGTTAGCTTATTATCATTTTTAAGGTTTTAAAAAATTCTGACAACTTGCTAGGGCCTTATTTTGACCATAATGGTATAATATTTGTGATTTTTAAATATACTATAACTTCGTGAATTTGCTGCCGTCCTGAAAGAAAAAAATGTTTTTTTCTGGGCCTTAAATGATGATTGCATATGAACCTATTAACATATTTTCATCATTTTAGCCATGTTAAACTTGTAGTAACAATATTTATTTTTAAGCACTGTTATCAATAAGAGAGGAAGATAATACGGTCACTAGTTGGGTTGTTGACATACGTGTTCTATTTTATATAGTCTAATAAATTCTGTTTACTTCAGATTACTTTAGAATATGATATCCTGGACAAAACTTGGGGTTTATATGTTCCCAAAGAAATTAAATGGGGGTCTGAGCTCAATGGTAGCTCTTAAGTAGCATTCCTAAGACCCTCTGTTTAATCCCTAATATTGGTGTTGGAGTGGGAAAGAGTAACCAAGATATTAGAAAAAAAAATCAAAGAAGTAGAGTTAAAAAAGGAGAAAAATCTAGTGAAATGAGAGACAAACATCTAGAGAAATAACATGGTAATTTTCAGAGGTGAAATTTCCTTATTTGAATCAAAGGCCATTAATTGTATCCTCAGACATTAGAAGAAAGCCCTTCAAAGAAGGGCTAATATGGTTAAACCAGTAAAATGTTCTGATATTCTCTTTGACATTATAGTATTTTTAACTGATTTTAACTGATTTTTTCCCCAAAACACTATACAGACTATCGTGAGGAAAAGAGAGTCTTAAATGGTAAGTTATATTAATTTTTAGATTTTTTGAAACAGAGTCTCACTGTGTAGTTGAGGCAGGCAGCAGAACCACTGAGCTAAATCTCCAACCCCCTCACTATGGAGTTGAAACTGACCTGGAACTCACTATGTAGCCCAGGCTGGTCTCAAACTCATAGCGATCTTCCTGCCTCAGCCCCCTGAGTGCTGGGATTACAGGAGTGTGCCACCATGCCCGATGGTCATATTAATTTTTAATAAAAATTTCTTTAGAGAATTATCTGTGGTATTTAGATTTTTTTAATGCAAAAATTATCTTTACTTGCCCAAACATAAATGGAACTTCATGGGCCCCTTATCCCATCCATTACTCTTAAAATAATTCCTTCTGTGGCATTGCTAATCACATGTTCATCTGTCCAAAGCTCGAATAATTCTAATGATTAAAACAAGACTGAACAGGTCATCTCTCTCAGGCATGTGTGCAGTGCAAAAATGCTGAATAGCTTGTTAATGTACTCTTCTGAGTTGAGCAGCCCTGGCTTCCCACACTATTCAATGTGACTTGGAATTATGACTGACATTGTTCCCCTTCTCCCAGAATTTAAAGTGCTGGTCATTATTGACTCATGAAATGCCTACCGCTTCTTAATAGATTTTTTCCCTTTGCAAAAGAAAGTTATAGAAGTGCAGTTCATAAGCTTATCAGATGAATTACCATTACCTTTTTTGTTTAAAGAAATGGTTTGTGTTGTAATTTATGATAACTGAAGCTGTTATCTGATTAACACTGCATTAACCAAAAGACTGATCTCAGATTTCACCTGATGATTGATTCTTCTGTGATACTATGAAAACAGTCATTGCTCATTATTAATGAACTGGACATCTTCTTTCCCACCACATGTGGCTTTACTCTCCTGTTCATGCTCCTTTAGATATATATAACTAATGCTCAATTAGAGGTAGCCTTAAAAATGGATTTTAGCACACCGTAATGATCTGGAGACCACTTCCTGGGACTTGGGTCCTAAAAGATTGGAATCTATGTATTATAAGCAGCAGCTTACATTTGCCTCACTTATGTCTGTGTGCTAAGTCTGTTTGCAAATGTGATCTGTCTGCCTTCTATCATTATTCCAACAGCTTCTTAAAATACTGAGTGGGATAGACTACTTTTGTATTCCATGATCCTTTCAAATTGGTATCAGTTGGTCAGTCTGAATTTTTAGAAGGAGAACATTCATTCAGTTCACTTTATTTATTTTACTCCATCTCATATTTACCCCATATTCTTTTACCTTATCCAGAAGAATATTATATAAGGTTTGTTTCTTTGGTTTCCTTTCTATATATTATTAAATTAGACATTCTATGGCATATAACATTATTTTGTTCTAATAAGTTATATTTTATGATGTGGTATAGGTTTTTAATAAAAGATAGATGGAAGTTATCTCATTTATGATTTTGTAAGATTTGAAGAGGAAATAGTGGTTTGCATAAATTCATAGTGTGAACACTGAGTTTAAATGCAGATGTTCTAGTCCTCATCAAGTCATACAAGATTAAAATGTACTTAAAATTTATGAATTCTGTTGATGGCTTTTTCTCACAGAAATTTTTAGATTGTGATACATGCATTATTTATATACCTAACACTTTCAGAAAAGAAATTATGCTATTTGCTTAATGAAATATTTTTCAGTATTTCTCAAATAATTTAGTAGACATCTTTCTTGCTATTTTTAGAAAAAAATTATTTTAGTCTTTGGTTTATTATACCTATACTTTGTAGTAAACATTGTTCTTTTAGGGTCCTCTGCTAGTTAATTCACACCTTTGGTCCTGTTGTGACATCTCTGAGGCTTCCTTTGTTTGTCTGAAAATTTAGTGTGCTCTAAGGCCTAGGCTCAGACCTCACCTTCAGCCTCATTCTGAAAAATATGCCTGTGATTGCACCTAAGCTTGTGTGTAAGCAAATGCTTCTGTGCGAAAGACTGGAGAGCCTCTAAACTAGCTTGTCTCTGTGGTGTCTCCTGACTCTTAACTTTATATTACTTTGATTTCTAATTGGAGAACTCTTAACACCCACCATTCTAACCATTAATTTTTTTCCTACAGTTTGAGAAATAATATAATGTATTGACTTTAAAAAGTCATTTAATAGCAATACTTTTTTTCCAAACTGAATCTTGCTATTACAAATAATGCATTTCTGTCATGGGAGAAAATTAATATTTCAGAAATTGCTGTTTTCAGAGTTCATCTGTGTCTCTGAGCTTTCTTAAATGATTTTAAAATTGGTTTTAGTGGACCTTTAAAATGCTATGTTGATGCAGACCCATAACAATGAGTAAAATGGGCTGGGGATTTAGCTCAGTGGTGCCCCCGCCTGCCTCGCAAGCGCAAGGTCCGGAGTTTGATCTCCCGTACCAAAAGAAGAATGAGTAAAATGTACAAAGAAATACCACATGTTGGTGAGGTAATAGAGCAACTGGAACTCAAAAGTATAATTAGCAGTACCACTTTGAAGAGTATGTACTAAAGTTAACACCCTATATACCCCCTGGAAATGTACATCTATGTTAGGGATGTACACATGCATAAACAAGAATATTTATAATAACATTATGCATAATAGCCTGAAACTAGAAGAGTCCAGATGCCCAGCAACAGAATGAATAAATCATGTACTAATATGATGGAACAATATTCAGTAATAAAAAGTAACAAACTTGTGATACATTCAAAAGAAAAAAAATCTCAAAATTTCTTGGTTTGGTTTATTGCTTACTATCAGCCATGCTTATTTGCCAAAAACTTGTAAAGTCTAAAATGTTGGGCAAAAAGGTCAAAAGGGACACATTTTATGATTTCTTTCATATGAAGGTTATACTTAGGCAAAAGCTAATCATGATGTTAAAAGTCACAGTAGTGGATTCCCTTTGGGGAGGATACTACTGAGGGATGCAGAGAGGGTATTGGCTGCAGGGATATGTTTGAATTTATGAAAATTCATTGTGGACCATATTTATAATATGTCCTTTTATGTGTGTATATAACAGCTCAAAAGTTAACTGAAAAGATAAAAGTTTTTAAGTGCTTTGTGGTTGAACTGTTGCTATTCTGTTGTTTTCTCTGTGAAGGTATGCTTGCCAAGACCCAGGTGTCAGGTACACTTGCCAAGGAAGGTCCTAATTCTCCAAGGTATATATATTCTTGTTTTACTTTTTTAAAGCTAAATCAGTTCTACACAGAAAGTACACACATTTAAAAGAAGAAAACAGCTCTAGGTTTGATTGTGTATTATTAATCATTCTTTTATGACACATGAACTACATTATACAGGGCTTCATTTATCAGCTGTTGGAGAATGAGCTCTTCTAAAAATGTGAATTGGAAGTACAACTGAAGTTTGACCCATTTTACAGCATTTAAAAATTATTTAAAACTTTTTCTGTTTATAAAAAATACACACATTCATCATAGAAAACTTAAGAAAATACAAAGAAATACAAAAGCATGTGATAAAAGCACATGGTGCACTAACCTTAGATATATACTCAACATTTGACTTACTCTGTCTCGTTTGTCATATAATATGTCTACATTATACTACTTTATAATATTGACCTTATAGTATATTCTTCTTTGAGCAATTTTTGTTTCACTACATATTCTGTGAAAGCATTTTGTTGCATGTCATCATATGACCAGTGTATAAATTTATTTAACTATTCAGTTTTTGTATATCTGATTTGTTTATATAAATTTTAAAGAATCTCTTTTGAAGTGTGTGGGACACCAGTTATCTTAAATAGTTAACACCAGATTTAATAATGCACATATATTTTCTGCTGATGATACCTAAATACCTTCAGAGTTATATGTTTTCTTTATAGTTCTTTCTCTTACTGCCTTTCTTCACCAGGATTTATTATTCTATTCTTAGCAAAACATACTATATTCTATTATTGGTCTAATAGAAGAAGATGTTAATAGAAAGATGTTTAACTTTTCACCAGAAAGTGTTATAACTATATTATTTTGCTTTTACTCAAAAACTTGGAAGTATATTTAGAAATAATTGTCAGTTATTAAAGCATGTAAAATGTTATGACAACTATTTAGAAAAAGTTTAAGCTAGAGAAATATATTTCTTGCAATAAATTTTAAAGATGTAATGATTTTATGTGTTCATGCACATCATCATCAGTATAGTTATTTGTTCTCTTCTTAATATTTTACAGCTATGACTGGTTCCAAACAGACTGTTTCATCACCATTGTCATATATACTAAACAGAAGGTAAATATATCATTAAAAATCAGGAGAAAAGTAAATACTTAATAAATGTTAGTAAAATGTTGGTCATGTGCCAAGTCCTTTTCTTACATTAACTTATTTACTCTTTATAACTCTATGAGGTAGATAGTGTTCTTGCTAGTTCACACACAAAGCAGGAAGGAGGATTAAATAATTTACCTAAAGTCACACACTAGACAGCTGATCTAGTGTTTGGAACCAGGGATGTCTGACTCCTGCCTCATATATTCCTATCAACCATGCTGTGGACTGTTAGACTAGACTAGAAAGCATTTTATATGCTCCTCTGTGAATTTTTTTTAAAAGACATGGATGACAAAAGCGTAGTTAACTTCATAAGAATAAATTTTCTGGAACATAAATGTGGATAAGAAAGACTGCACCACTGTGGCTTAGCATTTTTAAACCATTAATGGTGTTCAGATACCCTTTTTAAACTAGGGTAAGTGTTGTAATACCTCTTTTATATAAGGTAGTCAGGATCTAGTAATGAACCAGATATATGGCTAACTGGATTTCACAGAGCTTACAGTTCAGCTGGAGGATTGGATAAATAAGCAGATAACTAAGAATCTTCAACCACATTATCCAGCAACTATTGAGGTTCCCACATGTAGATTAAAAGACAAGTTTTGATAGCTAGGGATTTAGAGAATCCCGCTTCTGTGGTAGCAGAACCACATCTGAGCCTGTGAGTTCCTATGACTCTTGCAGCATGATTTGACAATTCTGTGGAAGTGACTGGCCTTTGTCTGAAACAATGAAGAGAGCCAGAGAAAGTAGTTGGCCCGCCTACTACTCTTACTATTGTCTGTTCATCAAATATCCAAAAGGAAGAAGACGGCAGGGTATAGGGAGGTTGGAGTCCATGCTCACTGATGCTATGGGAGAGCCATAGAAGGTAGCTGGCTGAGGAAATAGGAAAGGTTTCCATAGAGAATAATGCTTTTAATATATTTTGTAAGTGATAGGTACCAAAATGCCTTTCATCAAGACAAAATAGAAATTAGAGACATCTAAAACTTATTAGTGAATTTTTTTGTAAGGTGAGATTGAACAGTATTCAGTTTCTCCAGTATCACATAATAGAAGAATAGTTAAAACAAATAAACACAAAAATCTTGGGTTTGGGTCCAATTCTACTTTTTTGCCGCATTGCTTATTCTCCAAATATTTAAGGGTATCCTCTAGGTGCCACACAATGCTTTAAAGGTAGTCCCTTAACTTATAGCTTAGAGACTACTGGATAAGGTGATATTAAACATATATACAATTAAAATTGTGATCTTTTGAAAAACTAGTTTATATGAGAGAAAAAAGTCAAAAATAGGACTAACATCTATTCAACTTCAGGGTTCTATAAAATAGTGCTATATGAACTTAACACTGATCACCTTAAAGGAGGAGTTGTGGAAGTTTAGGGGAAAATTTGCTTTTATTTTTTTCTAACTTTGCATTGCTTTCTGTTTAAGGATATCAGTTTAGATTCAATAATAGTTGATCATCAAGGTGACTCCTTTAGAGCAGAAACAATTATCAAGGATTATTCATATTTTATACATATTGGTGAGTATCTTATTTTTATTAATGTAAACAGCTCCTGTTACCTCTAATTATGGTAGTCACTTTTTCTGTAGTCTGTATAGCTGTGTTATCTACTGTTTTCATTTTGATTTGTCATTTTTGATCAATTTTTTCATTTTAATTTCTTTATACTAATACAAATGCTAGCAAATGACAGTGTGATCTTACGTTTCCAAGTTAAAGCAATTAGATGCAATCAAAATCAATAATAAATTTGTTGGACCAATTTTTGTAACTTTCTAATACTTGACACTTAGCAAGTCTTTGGTGGCCTGGTGGTCACATGCTTCTGCTGACCAGTCATCACTATGTGACCCATTTCATTGGCCTGTATCTTACCAGCTTTGCCATAGGAAGGAAGTCTGAGGCTGCCACAAAACAGTCTGGGTTTCAAGTTTGTACTATATCCTTCAGTCTCTTGTCTTATGATCTAAGCCATCTTACTTCTATCAGTTTTGAAAAATTAGAAGTCTATCAGAAGAAAACAGAGTTAAAATGTAGAGTCAAAGATATGACATTTTAATCCACTTCTCACCTATAATGAACTCCACCTCAGGATTTCACTGTTTTCTCCTTTTATGATATGATGGTGAATTTTTTAGTTAGAAGGTAGAAATAGTAGTATACACTCAAACACACAAACAAAAACCGAAGAAAATAATCTTAGTCATGGTGCTTTAAGCATGCATTTTTATAAAGAAAATTTTGGTTAACTTGCAAAACATAGGCTGAAATTCTCCATCCCCCTAACTTAGGTTTCTGCTTACCACTTTGCTACATTAATGAAGTATCTTTAGTTCTGAATTTGGTCAGAGCTGATTCCCAGCCTCACTCCACTCCTGTTTTTCAGATTCACCAATCTCAAACGTTTTTTTTGGAGACAAGGTCTCACTTTGTAAGCTGGCCTTGAACTCACTATGGAGCTCAGGCTGGCCTTGGACTTGCTGTGGTCCTTCTGCTTCAGCCTCCCAAGTGCTGGGATTATAGGTGTGTGCCATCACATCCGGCCCCCTTAAACATTTTTACTAAAAATGATTTTATCACTGTTTTGGGAATCAATTTAAACACCTTTATGAGTCTTTAGAAATATTCATGGTGCTTGGTTGGGTTCAAGCATGCAGGGAGAAACATGTAGCTGGCTGAGGATGCAGCACTTTGTACTTCTTCAGGGCATATAAAATGGGGGAGACTGGGAGCCCTGCAGTCATATACATATACACAAAAAAGCAAAAAAAAGTTTCAACCAGAATTATTAAACTCCCATTTTTCAATACTGCATTGGAAAGGCTGAAATTATGCAAAATTCTAAGTTCCATTTTAACAGTGAAATTTAGAGCAGGTATTTGTTTGGGCTTTCCCCCTTTTTTGGTTTTTTGAGACAGGGTCTCACTATGTAGTTCAGGCTGGCCTCAAACTCTGGGAAATACTCATGCCTCAGCCTCTCAAGTGCTAGGATTACAAGCGTGCTCCACCACCCCTGGTCAGAGCAGATATTTGTAAAAGTACTTCTTACATCTCCCATTTCTAGAATGTAAGTTCCATAAAGACAGAGACATATTATTTTCTTATTAATTTTTGTATTCATAGCACCTGGGAAGTAACTGGTATACATAGATTTTGAAGGCAGATTTTTAAAATAACTGGGCATTTAGCTTTAGAGAACAATAAGGAAAGAAATAGGCTAGACTCAGGCCTGATCTGTGTTCACATGTGCATGTGAGAACACACTGGCTGTGCATGTGTCAGGCGCTGGTGCCTTCCACCCTGGCCCACTCAGTTCTTGCTTTGTAGCACTGTCAGTCTGGGACCACACCTGGACTGGTGTGAGTCAATTGGTCTGTTATTGGTTCAGTATCTGCTGTTCAGTTGATAAGCAGATAAATAGGAAAATAGCGGAAATAACATATTTAAATAATATGACTCTCAGTTTCATTTATATATCATTTCTTCCTTTTAGTCTCTCAGAATGTTTTCTTTGACTTGAAGGATTTGAAATAGTGCATAAAAATGATCTTATGTGGTATTCATAAACTATATGGACTAATTTTAGATTTTTAATGAAATACATTTTTTTTGTCTATTTCAGAGCTAAGCCACGAGGTTGAGGAAGATTTTTCTGGTAAGCGCCCCAAAATTCACATATGTGGGTTCACTCAAACACATGCACGCACAGGCAGAGAGAACTCAGCATTTGTCTTATTTTTCATATGTTTATTTTCATGTTACAAAACAAAAGTGACATTTTCTATATAAACAAATACATTAATTTCAAAATATACTGCTGGTTTCAGGTGTTTCCCTTTTTTTTCTTTCTTTTTGTTCTTTTCATCGTTTTCTTTCTTTTTTTTCTTACAAAAAAGAAAAAAAAGAAGATTCCTGTCTCTTCCATTTTTCCTTTACTTAAGCCTTCCTCATGATATGTAGCCTTTAGATATACACTACACCATTTTCCTAGATGCATTTATTAAAAGGTTAATGCTAACAAAGCATACTGAAACTATGACAGTTGCTGCATATATTTGTGCAGTGTGGATTTTACACAGCTGTTTAACAACAGAAGTCTCTCCTTAGAACAGGAGTTATTTCTTGGTATCCTCACAATAAATTACAGTGGTTCAATGTCTCTCCTTTCTGTGTGACATAGTAAGCTCTGTAAAGTCAAGGACCAGGTTTTTATTTTAGTTATGCTTCAGAACAGTGATCAAACTGTCATGTAAAGGTACAAGATCCCAGTAATGAATGTAACTGTACTGTATACTTAGAATGTACCAATAAACTAAATAAAAAAAAAAGAACAGTGATCAAAGAATTTAATTCATTTGACTAATGTATTTTAAAAGTTGGTAAGTTGTTTTGGGGTTCTGAGGAGGAACAGATACCTTGTTTCTAAAAAATCTGAAATTTGTTTTATATCTTTAAAAGAATGTTCAATTCACAAAATTTAAATCAATTTAAATAAATTGATATATTTTTTTATTATGCCCATATAGTCTAAACTGTTTTAGTCATTCAAAAAGGAAAAAGATAATGTAAAAGATTTTTAATTAATTATCAAAGATTTACAGGTACTTTATTCATTAATTTCATATTCTCTAGAGACTTATGAACCTGAAGCTATTCTTAGGTTCAGTGTTTTTCTGAATTACCATTAGGAACCCCTCAAATTCCAACTAAGAAATGTTAAAAGGGGAGAAAATTAAATTTGCTTTCATTGGTTTATTCAGTGGTAATTTGTATATATGTGCCCCCCCACTTTTGGTTTTATGTTTATTAGTTGTTAGATCTGTATTTGAGATTGTGTGAGAACTAGCAAAGCATATAGTGTTAGTTTTGCCCCTGACAAATTATTTTGGAAAGAGTTCTGAAACTAAACAAATTAAGTTGGGTTTAATGTCTTATGTGGCATCAATCATTTTAATACATGGGCAAATTTTCATTCTTCCTACTGGTAATCAGTATCATTATAAAAGATCAGGATTATTTGACTGAAAAAGATTGGTCTTAAAATTTTATAAGTAATATAAACTATGCAACTGTAATTTATCTTCCTTTCAGTGAGAGTTGTTGAGAATGTGGGAAAAATAGAGATTGTCCTTAAAAAAAAGGAAAATACTTCTTGGAAATGTCTTGGACATCCCCTGGAGAAGCATAATTTACTTATTCTAAAGAAAGACACAGGTATGCTGTGCTGTTACTTTTTGTGCTATGTGTATATTCATAAAATTGTATTAGTGGCAGAATTCTATCAGAGTTTAGAAGGTTTCTTTGGGATGAGCTTGAAAGGTTCTTATATTTCACTCTACGAAGTTTGGAATAGATACTGTATCTGTTATTTATTTATTTATTTATTTTTGCTTGTTTGTTTTCAAGAAGTTAGATTTCAGCTGGGCATGGTGGCACAAGCCTTTAATCCCAGCACTGAGGAGGCTGAGGCAGGAGGATCGCCATAAATTTGAGGCCAGCCTGAGCTATAGTGAGTTCAAAGCCAGCCTGAACTACATAGCAAGACCCTGTCTCAAAAAAAAAAAAAGTAAATTTCACATTCTACTATCTATAAACATAGATATAACAAGTATATAGGTATAACAAGTCTTCAGGTAATAATATTCTGAATAAAGAAATGCTTTATTCGCTTATGCTTTAGACTGTTCTTCAACCATTTGCCACTCGTGCGGGGCCTTTTATAAAAACAAAAAATAGACAAATTTCCTTGTGTGCCTATCGTACTGTTTTTCTTTTAAAGACATGTTTGGTATTTTTCTGCTCAAGCAAACCAGTTTTCAGTTTCTTTTTTTTTCCTCATTGAGTTTATTGGTACATTTTAGGTATACAGTACAGGTACATTCATTATTGGGATCTTGTACCTCTACATGACAGGTCCTGGTTCCCATTTTTTCCGCTTGTCCCTGCCCTCCCTTCAACCCCTCCTTCAGTTTATTTCTGAAGGGTGATAATATTCATTTCCTTTTTTTAAAGCTTGAAATCACAGTTGAAGCATGGTATATATATAGTATAAGTATTCTACTTGATATATTTTCACAAAATTTGATACAATTTTACAAGGATTTGATCCTTGTTTTGAATGTTTTGATATTTCTCAGTGATTGGCCATAATGTGGATTTTTTTTAATCCTTCATGCTATATCCTCATCCTTTGTCTCAATGCTTCATTATAGAAATTTAGGAACTTTAGTTCTGAAAAAATAATTGATTTTTCTTCCTTCTATGTTCTGTTTTTGCTTTCTAGACATATTTTTGTACTGACTCTCCGTAGCCAGTAATGTAATTATTTTCTTTTTAATTTTGTCTTTTTTTCCTTTTTCAACATTTCTTCAGCTGTATCTTTTAGCTGTTCAATTTACTTATAACTATTAATATTTTTAATTTCTAAGGACTCTTAATTTCTGTTCCATTGTTTTATTATCTTGTTCTTATGAGCTTCTCTTATTTCATTAAGAATTACTGGGGCTGGGGATGTAGCTCAGTGGCATCACACCTGCCTGGCAAGCGCAAGGTCCTGAGTTTGAGCCGCAGTACCAGAAAAAAAAGAATTACTTAATAGTGTTTTAGAGTTTTCATCTCCTATATGATCTCCATGGGCCCCAATTTTTGTTTTTTGTATTTGTTTTGGTGTCTTTCATGTTAGGTGCTTTCTTGGAGTGTTTGCTAGTCCTTAATTATGTGCTTATAGTTCAGCTGATTGGAAATTGTGTGTTTGGGATGGCCTTTGGCAGTAATATTTGCTGCCAAAGATCATATCTTTGGGAAATGTGTCATTCCGGTACTTTGTCAAGCTTGCAAGCTCTTTCCTTGCATCCAGCCCTTTGGAAGCTGTGGGGAAAAAAGGTGGAGGTATCCATAATTTCCTTTTTTAATATGAAAATGCTACATTAGTTGGCTAGGTAATTATAACAAATTACTACACACTGAATGGCTTACAACACAAGTTTATTTTCTTTGTGGTACTAGAGCTTAGAAGTCCAACATCAAGGTATTGGCAGGGTTGGTCTTTTCTAAGGCCTCTCTCTTTGGCTATTATAGATGGCCATCTTTCTGTGTTTTCACATGGTCCTCTGTGTCTTCATTTCCTCTCTTATAAAGATACCAATAATATTACGTTAGAGCCACCCTAGTGATTTCATTTTTTAATTACCTTTCAAAAGATCCTGTTTCTAAATACAGTCATATTCTGAGATAGTAGATATTGTGACTTCAACTTGTAAATCAGTCTGTCACATATATCCAATTCAGAGACCCTGTATTTTACTTTCTTTAGAGTGTAAAGTTCTACTAGTTTGTGAAGATGAGAGAGGGTTAGTCATGTGTCTTTGCTAAGCAGGGGAGGACTCCAGAGGGTTGGGGAATAGCCAAGCTTCTTAAATGAACTTTCATCCAGAAAGTGGTTTTAGTTCAAACTTGACTCTGACATCAGATGTACCCATCCTGCCAGTTTCTGAATCTAAAAGTGATTTTGTGTTAAAGTAAAGGGTTCATTTTTGGCTGTCTATACTTCTAGCCTACCAGCAGTTGCCTCATTAGATCAGAAGATAACCCTATCACCCAGAAGATTCAGGGAATTTAGGAGTTTTGTGTCAGATGTACCTTACACTTAGGAAATTACAAAAGTTTTAAGAAGTTTGTATCAGGAACTGGGGTCAAAGACCAAACACTTCAAGAAAAGATTTTCTTAGCACCTTTATTTACCAGGATTTTAGGAATTCTGTGTCCATAGCTAGAGGTAGAAACTAGTATATATTTCTTATTTCACAATGATTGAAAAATACATTTGGTATAATTTGTAGATGTTTGTACAAGTCAACCTTATTTTGAGCACACACTATGTGTTGAATGCTATTTTAAGTACTGTGGTATGAAACAAAAAGAGTATAAGAAATTATTTCCCCAGGGGTAAAGAGAACATACACAAACAGGAGGTTGAAGAATACTTTTCATAAAGAAAAAGCCAATAAGGATGAGTTATATAGTCCCTTTTTGCGGTAGTCTCGAGTGAACAGACATGGACAAATTTGATCTTGAATGACTACCTAAAGAAGAAAAATCTTAGGTATTATGAAAATGGGGTCTGTGGCTTTCTAAAAATACAAAAACAAAACTGAAGAACTTTCTAGGTAGAACTACTACATATAGTTACTGGCATACTGCTTGACATTGTGGAGATTATAGAGGTAGAAAAAAATGTAAGCATTGTAATGGATAATTCAAATAGATTAATTTTACCAGAACAGGAGGTCTGATTGTGTGGTGTTAGGTAAGAAGAGAAGATGTGAAAGCTATGGTGTGACCTAACAAATCAGAAGAGAATGAGAAAGGGACAGTGAAATTGAAGAGAAATACTAATAGAACAAGATGTATTTCCCTGAAATTGATCCAACTTACCTAGTGATTGAAAAGTCCTAGGAGACTAAGGTTAAAGCTTTGCTCAAAAAACCAAGCTGATCTCCATTTGGAAATAGAATGGCCTTTGCTCAAGTATTTGGTTCTGTAATTTCCTAAAGGTTTCCATGAACTTTTTTTCCCCCTCTTGCTATGAGGGGTGGGGGGTCGGAGGGGGAGAGGAAGAGGGAAGGAGGGAGACAGACAGAAATCCTGGACTTTAGAAAGAGAAAAGAAAGAAAGAATCAGGCAAAAGAACCTTAGTTTTCTTGTGTGAAACTGGAGCCATAGATATATTTTTCAGTGAGGTAGATCTGCTTTGGAAAATGACTCAGTTTAAGTGATATTTTTATTTGACTGAATTGTAAGGATAATTTCTTCTTTTTTCTTTTCTTTAACTTATGACAAAAACTTAAATTATTTTATTTTGTAGCAAAGCTGATACTTACATCATCAAAGTAGGTATTCAATTCATTTTTTTGTTAGTAGCTTTGAACATTTATGGCCCATAATGTGGTTCCTAGGTTCTCAATATATACTACTAAAATTATTGTCTTTTAAACATGAGTGTACTGACTTCATTTTATTAATGTATCATAGCTGAAAGAATTTTAATTTGAAAATAAGCATGTGAATTGAAAACATTTATAGTAATAGTGTTTTATGACAAATCTAGAATTCTATGAAAGATTCAACTATAAAAAAGAACATCAATCAGAAAACAAACTATTTCATTTTTTACCCTTAATTCAAATGTTGGGGTAATATTTAGTCACCAAGCAAAGGTTGCTTTAAAGATTTGCCAACAAACAACCCAATAAATAGTAAGTTAGTCTTGGGAGACAAGTTTTTTTATTTGTATCATAATTTTGATAAGCTAGTAACCATTTATGAGCCTTTAAGTTAATACCCATAGTCTGTGCAATATGATTGAAAAATATAGTGAATGTTTCAATAAATAAAAATATATTACAGTAAAAGACACATTGCCATTCATCCCTCTTAAAGTACTCCTCCTTGCTTTGAACATACGTCTTCCTTCTTGTCTGTAGTTGCACAGTGGTAGCTAAATTGATTTAGACCATTTACCTTTTATGGTCATTTTGACTTTGGGGAAGAAGAGAGCCAGAAGCCACCAGATCTGGTGAATAATGTAGATGAGGCATACTGTAATATTTGTACAAGTCTGCTTTTCTGTTGGATGGTACTTAGGAGCAGTATTCACCACATTTTTGGTCACATCTCCTAAAAACACTCAGGAAAGAGAACCTCCAGAACTGCTTTAGATAGTGGCAAAATGATAAGTGCTTTTGAAAGGAAGGGGAGAATTTTGAGGGAGCATAATGGTGATGTGTCTTTTAGTGTAATAAAAATTTAAAAACTTAAACATTCATCGTTTATGTCAATCACACCTCTTTCTTTTACATTAAGTTGAACTGTACAGAGTTGGTTATATTTCAGTTTTTTTTAACCTAACAAAATGGCAGTTTCCTGTTTTTTGACCTGTACTTTCATTAGGCCTTCTTAGCTACTGACCCCACACAAACATACACACAATGGAATCCTCCCTGAACTTGTCACAGTGCTTCTTTGCACACTGTAATGAGTGCTTGACTCAGATTTTTCTGTAGGGCATGTGATCCTGCTTGTGTTCATATTGCACAAATCTTAGAGGTATAAAAAGAATAGCTCTCACCTCTCCCCAGCTCTTGCCTGTGCTGCTATATTTCTTTGCTACCTTCAATAAGCATTCAGAATTACTAGAAATGAATAAATACTGTGGATAGATGATAAAAATTTCACTGTGCTTTATTCTGTCCTCAAATTGCCTGTTCTGCCCAGGTGGCATAAAGTTATTGCTCGCATGGTAACTGTGAGATGCTTTGATGTCTATTGCCTTATATTCATTTTTATTGTAATGACCTGAATATGCAATCTGAAGGAGCACAAAGTAGATGAAGCAATAACTGAATAAGAAATTCTTTATTATATTAAACAATGAGAGAAAAGTTTAGAAACTTTGAATTCAAGTTGATTCAAGCACTTGCACTTTAGTTTAAAAAATTTGTTGAATTATTATTTCTAGAACATAAGAGTGAAGGTAATAAGCATAAAATTGTTCCAATTTAGTGACAGTCTTGCGAAATGGTTTTGTTATCTTAAAGGCTCTGTTGAATCTAGTCTTTGAAAAAGAGCTTTCTTTCTTCTAATTCAAGGCTGATGCTTAACTTTCCAAAATCATTAGTTTTAAAGAATGATTCTGTTTATATCAGTCCAGTTGGAGTAGTAAAACATCTTAATACACTTTAGAAATATTTTTAACAATCTTAGGTAAGAAGGGATCAATGCTTTTTTGTCAACTGAATGCTACTAATTTAAAAATCATACTCAGTCTTTGAGCATTCTGCTTCATAGTGTCTTACATCTTTAGTGTTTGAAGATATGTTGTGAATATATTACTTTGGGGGGTAGGTTGAAGATAATAAAACTATGCTACTAGAAATTGAGTGGAGGCCTATTAATGAAAAGGCTGAATAGTTAGAAACAAGATATACCCAGGCAACCTGGATCCTATCTACTCAAGAGACCGAGGCAAGATTGCAGGTTCTGGGCAATTTACAGAGACTGTCTCAAAATTTAAAAAATAAAACCCCCAAATATATGCCATTATCTAGTACTTTTAAAGTATACAGTACCTGAAACTGTTTCTTGAAGATGTCCTTATAACTTCATGAATTTGACTTAGTTTTGTCAGTATTTAAAATGTTCATAAACATTTTTAACATTATCAAAAATAGTTTCTTCTTGCCTGTTCTGAACGTTTTCCTTGTAATCATATTCACTACTTATTGAAGTCGCTGTCTTAGAAACAGCAAGGCAAAGTCAGCTGACTCATCCTGACTGTAGCCTGACGAAGTCTAAATGGGATAGCTGTAGGTTGTGGCTTTTTTTTTTCCTGTATGGATTTGTCTAGGTATTTATAATTTTAAATACTTTATTTTTAGTATATTTTGAGTTACATTCTTTTCTGTAGATTGCATTTTTAAGTGTATTTTCATTAATTGGAAATCCTACATATACTAAGGAAGTTCTTGTAGGAATAAATGAGCAAAGTAGATTGTAAATTAGTAAATATTTAAATAACTGAAAATAGTGAAGAATGCTCTGAAAAAATCCGATTGATTAGAACTGTGAGAATGTGGATATTGAAGAAGAGAGGTACCTGCTATGAATCTTGTATTGCTGAGCTGAATTGTTAATAACTTCTTACTCTGCCTTACATCTTCTTCAGCTCCCCTGTAACCTTGGGTGAGCTTCTCAACTTCCATAAGCCTGCATTTCTAGTAGGGAAAATACGGTGATTAAAGGATTTAAAAGTGTATTAAGAGCCTGGTACGGTGGTTTATGCCTGTAATCCCAGCAATCTAGAAGACAATAAGGAAGGAAGATCAAAAGTTTAAGTCTCACCTGGGCAACTTAGCCAGAACCTATCTCAAAATTTTTAAATGAATGAATGGGGAAGCAACTCAGTGAGAAGCACTTGGATTCAGCCTCCAGTGCTATAGCAAAAACGGGATTGGGGAGCAGAGCTAAGAGACAAGCTACAATGTGGTAAAATAATTTTACCGGCTGTTCCTCAGACAAAGGACTACTATCTAGAATATATAAACAATTCAAAAAAATCAGACCCCGCCAACTATAAAGACCTGATTCAAAAATGGGCATCTGAAATAAGCAGACATTTCTCAGACAAAGAAATAAAAGCAGCAAATAAACATATGAAAAAAATGTTCAGTATCACTGGTCATTCAAGGATGCAGATGAAAACAATGCTGAGATTCCATCTCACCCCAGAAAGAATGGCTGCTGTCAAGTATACTTACTTATTTTATTGAAGTTAATGTATATTGGTGCTCAAGAAATCAACCAATGACAAATGCTGGTGGAGTTGTGAGGAGATAGGAACCCTTCTTCATTGCTGGTGGGAGTGCGGACTGGTGCAACCACTATGCAAATCAATATGGAGATACCTAAGAAAACTGGGATTAGAGGTCCCATTGAATCCAGCTATCCCTCTGCTGGGTATCTTCCCAAAAGAAAAGAATCATACCACAGCAGTATATGCGCACCTGTGTTTATAGTGGCACAGTTTGTAATAGCTAAAACTTGGAAACAGTCCAGTTGCCTATCATTAGGAGACTAGATAAAGAAAATGTGGTTCTTCTATGAAATGGAATACTACTCAGCCATAAAGAATGAGAAACTAGAGACATTTATAGCTAAATGGATGCATATGGAGGCCGTACTCTTAAGTGAAATAAATAGGACACAAATGTGTAAATACCAAATAGTTTCTCCGGTGTAAAAAAACTAAAAGTGTAAATAAGTTTGAAATTATATAATTAATAATGTGAAATAGGGATAAAAGGCCTAAAGGAGTAGGGGAAGTGGGAGGAATAGGGGAAAGGAAAAGAGGGAAAAGAAAAAAATATGAGAAAAAGAAAAAATGCAAACAAAGTCTTTGTAAATAGGGAAGGGTGGAAGGGGTGAAGGGAGGGCAGGGGAATCAGAAAAAATAAGAACCAAGGGAGGAAAAAAAGAGATACCTCATGTTAAAGGTACAGGATCCCAATGATGAACGTAAATGTATTGTATACCTAAAAAGTACCGATAAACTTAATGAAAAATAAAGAGAGGGTTTGGGGGGACAGGGAGAGTAGGAGGAGAGGGAAGAAAAGACGGAGGAGCTTCTTTTGACTGTGCGATACCATCTTGATATCATGGTTTTGCCTGGGTGCCACACGAAGCTCATTAAAAGGATTTTTCACTTTTTGAGGTTTTTCTGGGGATTAGAACCTTGCTCTCTGATTGATTGAAATTTGATGAATCAATAATTCAGCCCCAACCAGACCCTCTGTAAAAACTCTAGAGGCTAATTTCTCCCTAGAAAACTGACTTCCAATGAAAAAAAGTAACCAGCATCATCTGCTTTATGTCACTCTTTCCTCGTATGCTGCAGTTTCCAGCTATCTATACCATCTTGCTCTTCGGTAAAATTAAAAAATGAAAATACTCTTAAATTTTTCTTAGAAGTTTTGGAACCTAGAGTTAAGATGTTTGCTTGAAATTATGTAAGCCTTTTGTAGGAAAACATTGAAATTATTTCAGTCGTGTTATGTTTCAAGAATGCCATGTCAGCTATCTAACAAGAAAAGTCAGTAAATCACTATCACAAGGATATTCTGGCGTCTTAAGCATAGTGATGCATACTAACTCTTTCTGGCAAATGCTAGAATAAAAATTGTTAAGTCAAAAGTTGAACAATTTCACCTAGCAGTAAGGTTGTTAGGGACATATGCACTAGATTAATTTAGAGGAAAGCGCTCCAGCCCTTCAACCTGGGCAAAAAAGGGTACCTCCCCTGGGTTCCTCCCTTGGAAAGCATTGTGTATGGGCTACTGTGTTCACCCCTGTGGAATTCCCCACATAGTGTTCTACAGAGACGAGAGTGAGAAAAGAAGAAAGTAGGCAGGCAGGAGAGGTGCTGGTCTCTCTCTGACATTTTACTGTGTGATACTTGGAGAATCCTGAGTTTGAATCCAGCTTTCTAGGACATTATGAAAGTGTGTATTTCATAGTGCAGCATAGAACATATTGCATTTGATAGTTACTTGTCTGATTTATAGTTTTTAACTATTTAGACATATAACATGAGTCTTTGGTTGTATTCTCAACATGGACCCCAGCAAGGGTCTGGAGAAGGGACAAGGATATCATTTTAAAAGCCCAGTGCTAGTTTGGCCTTCAGGATAACTTTAAAGTGGCTCTCTTAGCTGTACCTTTATCCAAGACTGTTCCCTGGCACCAGCATGAGGTGAACTAAAGTGATGCCTCCTGGTTTTTAGGTGCAAAAGTGCACCAAAGCATATGTCCTTGTTGAGCTACCGTGGTAACAAGTGATTATACCCTGGCTTGTTAAACTTTAAAAATACTTCAGTTTTAAAGATTTTCTGCTGTGTAAGACTTTAGAATGGAAATTCTACATTAAATTGCCAGATAGTTTTCATATATATGATTAGTTTAATTTTAAACATAAAGTTTAAAGAATGGAATTATCTAAAATAAATTTACAAAAAATCATGTTTTAATTTCTTAGAATATAATGGTTTTGGCAGGCTATGCTAACAGACATGAAATAATGCTTATTTTATTCATTTTTCAGATTATAAAAGTATTTACATGCTTTAGAAAATAGATATCTCAGGAAATAAAATGAAAAAATAACCTTATAATTTTGATGAACTTTTAAAACATACAGGCATTTTAGTGGAATTAAAACCTTTTGGTGAGCAAAAACTAAGTATGTGCTTGACTTAGTTCATTATTACTTTTTATTAATTTATGTATCAATGAGAAAATGCATTCCTTTCTAGGTTTGTACTATAGAAAGTGCCAGTTAGTTTCCAAGGAAGCTGTCACTCACGATACAAAGCTTTTCTGTTTGATGCTGCCAGCAGGCACTCATCTGCAGGTGCCAGTCGGGCACCATGTTTACCTCAAGGTAACTATCACAGGTAAGGCAATTACAGGCTTTGGGGTCACATTTTCTTCCTTTACGAGCAGTTCAGAGTAGTACCAGTCTATTTTGGAAACAGTCATTTAAGTGATTGATAAATGTTTGTGGGCAGCTGAATTTAGCATTAGGCAGAATCTCGGTTTGTGGATGCAGTGTCCCCCACGTGTGGGAGCTATGGTTGTCCCCATTGTTATACGGAACAAAGAAATTGCCCTAGTTGGACAGACGATTCCACCAGCATTGTAATTCATTACTGACAAAACCCTGAAGAAAAGGCAAGGTATATAATGGTCCACCTGAAGACTACTAGAAACTCATAGTAGTATCTCTTACTAGGTACTTATGGCTTTATCAGTTATGAAGTTGAATTTTTAAAATTCAAAGTAAGTGGATGATTATGAATTATTGTTTACATGTACCACCAATATAAGAAGCTCTAAAATATATTGTATTCTTTCTTGTATGAATTCTTTTCCTTCAGTTTTATCCCCAAATCACCCCACTTAATTGTTTTAAATACCCTTCTTTTTGATATACAACATTTTCTTGGCCTTTTGAATTTGCAAAAGGTAAATTTTGATGTTAATCATAGTTTTTCTACCAATTAGTCTTAACATATTACTAGCTAGGTTTTTATAGATAAGGTATATTACAATGGTACCCTTACATTTTTATCTTCATTGTCACTAATTCCAGATTACCACTCAAGAGCTTCCTCAGTGCACTTCTTGCCAGTGTATTTTAATTTACCTTTAAGTTAAGTATATGTTAAGGACAGTATCTTAAATATTGATCTTTAATATGTGTGATGACTCTTTTTGGAAGTTGGCTAACTGAAACTATAGCGTGAATTCTTATTTTACCTTTTAAAAATCAGTGTGTTCTTTGAAGTAGTTTGATTAATATTCCTTTCATTCGCTTACCAAAGTGGCATACAATATGTGAAAACATTAAAATAATTCAGAATATATAAAAGTGAAAAGTGAAATCCCTCTCTTTCTCTCTGAAAATGATCTCATGGCCTCCACTATTTTTAAATATTTGGTGTATAATTAAAATTAGTATGTAAAGGCCTTCTAATATCTCCATGGGAAATGTCTGATGTCACTTTTGTGTTGGCCCATTACAGAGTTCATATGCTGATGGAATATATAAATTTGTTAATGTATATCCTTACAAGTTTAGACTACACTTTCAATAAAAATAGATTGTCTATATTTTGGTTAAAATACTGATTTGGTAAAATTATTTCAGTGCTTGTAGGCTTGAGATATATATAAATCATATGCTAATAAATACAGAGCATATAGTTAGATTTATATGCATATTAGTTTTAAATATTGTTAGCATAAAATTTGTGTATTTCATCTTTAAGAGCTTAAGTTTTTAAAATTTATTTTCTTTGTTTTGAATTTTTTCTAGGTACGGAAATAGTAAAGCCATATACACCTGTATCTTATTCCTTATTCTCAGAGTTTAAAGAACCAGATCTTCCCAACAATAAATACATCTACTTTTTGATCAAAATCTATCCTGCTGGACTCCTCACTCCAGAGCTTGATCATCTTCAGATTGGTTAGTAATTTTGCATTTTTGGTAAACATCATTTCTGCTCTAGGTTGGATCAAATGTTCTCTGCTTAGTGCATATGGGAGTCTATTAACTATCTTAAACTCGACAGATCTATAACCAAAGTCATCTGCTCTTTGTCTTATACTCCATGTCCCCTGTCATTGATGTGTACCCTTGACCTAATTGTAGAGACTTGGTTCATTCTTGAGTCTCCCCAATCCAGTCAGCCACCAAGTTCTGTTGAGTCAGCCTCCCAGTGAATTTTTAATCATTGTTCCTGTCCCCCTAAAAGCATGACCTCTAACTGGTTGCTCACATTTGACTTTTAACTGATTTCTTTCTCTTCCTGTTCATTTGCATTTTCCAGTTGTTTCTCCATATTACCTTGAGAACAGATTTAATCATGTTGGTCCACAACTTTGAAACCTCTGATGGGTCCCTGTTACCTACACTGACTAAATCTTCTGCATGGCCTACAAAGACTTTGATGATTTATCCAGTTTCATCTCTTGCTATACAAAAATACTGCTACTTGGTTTCACTAGTCATCTGCATTCATAGGTATAAGCAGATGCCGACTCAGGATGTCCATTAACCCTCTGTCTGTCAGTTGCCTTTTAAAAAATGCTCAAACAAGATATAATTTCCTTTTTGAAGCCTCCTTTCTCCTCTGAAACATTTAGTAACAATTTATCTATAGCTCTAAGGATAGATACATTTCTTCTTTGTAAGATTTGCATTTAAGGGCAGAAATTATTTTAATTATATTTGTATTCCACATCTGGCATGATAGTTGACACATACTAGGCTATCAGGAGATGTACCTGGAAAGATTGAATAAAAAAAGTATGATGAGGGCCAGGGATTTGGCTCAATAGTTCCACCGCCTGCCTCAAAAGGGCAAGGGCCGGAGTTCGATCCCCAGTACCAAAAAAAACAGTATAATGAGATTGTTAAGATTTTAAAACTTTTCTTCTTGCTTCTAATTGTATTTTTGTATTGCCTTTTCACTACTCTGTATCTACTTGCGAAGTGTTCTGAGGCAGCATTAGCATTATACTGAGGTAACAGTGAAAAGAATCACTAAAACTTGGAAGCAAAGAAACTAATGCTACTTTCTGAAAGTTAAATTTAAGAAATCCACCCATAGCAGATGTGATGAGTCATCATTGCTCACATGAACTAAAATGCTGTATATGAATATGAACTTGAAGCAGTTTGAAATACACACAGTTCTAGTGTGAAGGCTATCACCTTGTGAAGGAAAGACTGATACATGATTATAATATAGTAAGTGGGAATTTAACAGTACTATAACCTACTTATAGAGATTTTATGACCACAGCAGAGCGGAGAGTTAGTCTCCACAGAATGAAATGAAGTGTTATTGCAGCCTCATCCGAGTACTATAGATGTGACACAAATACTTGTGTCACTTAGAGTTGTCCATTTGTACGAACCTCATCTTGGTCTAAATGAATAGCCCTATAAAATTATTCATCTTTTTGTTTTAATCCCATGTTCACCAGCAACCTTTAATATGATGAATGAAGCCTTTTAAATATTCTGATAATAGAAACAAGATCTCTGCCTGGAACATTTAATGTTTAGGGCACTAAATACCTATACTAAGTATAGTATACTAGATGCCACCTCTTGTCATTTCGTCATGTGTACTTTGTCATGTGTACTCTTGTGAAGTTGATTAGAATCATTTATCCTGACTGAATCTAATCAGTTTTATGCCATTGGAAGGACTGAATTGTGGGTAAAAGTTACCAAGTTATTATCAACCTTTGAAACTTCATTAATAAACAGTTGTTGGCTTTTTCCTAGGGGCATTCTGATCTTATGGTCCCTTTCAAACTGTAACAAGAAGTTTCTATTACTTTCCAATACTTGGTTCATCGATTACCATGTGTTTTTTTGTTTTGTTTTGTTTTGTTTTTTTACTATCCTGCAGTGAAAAACAAAGGAAATATTCTGACCACCAGGCATTTTAAAATAAACCAGAATATTTTAAATCATTTAAAAATAGTGGTTATCCATTATTTTTGTTTGTTTTAAAAGTTACATTGGAAATCTCCAAATGTAGCCTTTGCCATGTTTTCTTTGGTGCATGGTTCATGGTGGTCATATCAACCCCACTGTAGAAACTGGGCACTGAGTTCTCACCTGTGTTGATTCTAGATCAGAAACCAGCATGCTCCACAAGTATAGCTCATTGCTTTTGATTCAGTTAAACTCAGAAGAGCTCTTCTTATTTTAATTGATAGGTACTTTAAAAATTTGATGGAGGAGAAATAAGCACATTTACTGATGTAAGATTTAGAAAATGTTTCTATTTCTTTTTTTAAATTTTAAAAATTATTTTTATTGATTTTATTGGTACAATCTAGGTATACAATACAGTTACATTCATTATCGGGATCCTGTACCTTTACATGATAGGTCTTGATTCTCATTTTTCCCCTTGTCCCTGCCCTCCCTTCACTCCCTCTTCCCCTCCCCATTTACAATTTTCCTCTCTTATTACCTTTCCCCCACCCTTCCCACTTTCCCTACACCTTTAGCCCTTTATTTCCTATTTCACGTTATTAATTATCTCATTAGGATCTTGTGTACTATTATAGTTTTCCACATCAGAAAAACTATTCAGTATTTCAGTTAAAGAAATCTCTGTATGAACATTAAAAATAGGGAATCCTAAGACATAACTAAAAAGGAAAGTAAAAGAGAAAAGGCAATGATGTAAGATTAAAGTAATCCTTAATTCTGAAGATGAAAATGGTCCCTGAACATATTTAAATTGCCACTTGCTCTTGTAGTCTTCTTTTTTTTTTCATTATTTAGAGTATATTAGTTTCTCTAATCAAACCCATGTAGATATGACCTTACATATTTAATACAGTGCATTACCCCTGTACAAATGGAAAAAAATTAACATTTTTAGATCAATATGGCTGTCAATTTCTGTACAATGCCAACTCAACACAATAAATTGGGATAACTTTTCCCAAAGTTGACAGCACAGTTTCCAAAAATTCAAATTATATATATATTTATATTTATATAAAAAGACCAATAATAGCAGTATGTTATGCATCAATAGCAGCAACAGCTTTTCCAGGTTCTGCAGTCATCTGAACAAAATTATAGACATTCAGCACATTCCATTAAAAAAACAAAAACAAAAAAACAAAGAGAAGAATAATACCCAGAAAACAGCAAAGTTCTGTTGCTATTGTTGTACCTGGCACCATTTTTTTGTTAGCATTTTAATCATCATCTGGAAAGAGAACATTCTAGAGTAGTATCATTAAAAATAGCTCCGATAAAGCACTGTCCCCACTACATATCATAAAGCAGGTACAAGATATTTTACATTCACAGAGGTATGATACAGTACCGTCCTACATCAATAATACTAGAATCAGTTTTGGTTTGAAATTTACTTTGTCTGCAAATAAGATTGCTTCCCGTGCTTTTTTCTGGGCTCCTGTAACATGGAGAATTGTTTTCCATCCTTTCACTTTCAGTCTATGGGCTTCTCTTTGCACTAGGTGTGTTTCTTGCATACAATATATTGTTGGATTTTGCTTCTTATTCCATTTTGCCAGTCTATTTCTCTTCATTGGTGTGTTGAGGCCATTGAGATGTACTGACTTATTATTGTCATGTTATTGGCCTTTTGTTGACTCTTTTTACTTTTTCACCTTCTCCTTTTAGTTTCTTGCCTTGTCTATTTGATTTGCTCTGTTGGGCCTCATGGTGTTGTTGCCTTCATTGTCTTTTTCTAGGATCTTGTTTAGAATTGCTTGTAGTGCTGGTTTGGTATTTATGTAGTTTCTCAGGTGTTCTTTGTCATGGAAGTATCTAATTTCCCCATCCATTTTGAAAGAGAGTTTTGCAGGATACATCAGTCTAGGTTGGAGGTTGTTCTCTTTTAGTACTTGAAATATGTCTCTCCAGGCTCTCCTTGCCCTAAGGGTTTGTGTTGAAAAGTCTGCTCTGATTCTGATGGGCTTTCCTTTGCATATGATTTGTTTCTTTTCTCTTACTGCTTGTAGTATTTTGTTCTTCTGTTGGGTTTCTGGGATCTTGATTATTATATGTCTAGGTGTAGATTTGTTTTTTAATTTTGGCTAGTTGGGGTCTTATATATCTTACTTATCTGAATGTCAAATTCTTCCCCTCTGGGAAGTTTTCTGTCATTAATTCTGTGAACAGCTTTTTTAAGTCATTTGTATTTTCTCCTACTACTTCATGGATTCCTATCAGTCTTATGTTATTCTTCTTTGCATCATCTAGGAATTGTTGGATCAATTTCTCATGATCCCCTATTGTTTTTAAGAGACCTTTCTTTTCACAGTCACTGACTGCAGTCTTATCTTCTATATCTGAGAGTCTATCTTCACATTCTTTTATTCTGTTGCGTACACTTTCAATGGAGTGTTTAATCTCCTGGATATCTGTTTGAACCTGTTTTATCGATTCCATTTCTTTCCTATGTTGGGCATTTATTGTTTCCATTTCTTTCTTATGCTGGGCCTTCATGGCTTCTATCATGGTCCTGAGCTCATCTATTTTTTTGTCAGTTAGAAAATGTTTCTATTTCAGTCTTCTTTCCTATTAATCCAGTCACTGTAGAAACATCATGTGAATCACCAGTATCTATTCTGTACATTGTATTGTGCAGGACAGGTATACCTGGACTCTGCTTTTGAAGTGCTCAGAATTTAGTAGTAAATCCTTTATTGATCATTTGTGGATAAGTCCTTGCAGTAGTTTATAAATTACAGATTTTAGGTTGTGGAAATAATGGTGGGAAATGATATAATTAAAGTTTATTATTAATTTGATTATAATGATATAATCCAGACATACTGGAAGCCCAAAGATTATTTGTAAAACTCCTTTTACATACATTAAAGTCTATTATGTAGTCAGCAGGTTAAATATTTATTCTGTTAATCATTAGTGTTCTAAATTCAGCCTTCTCGATTTCTCTGCTCAATTAATTTTCTGATTTAGTTTATATTTCATTATTTAGGAGATTTTGTTTTTGTAAGCGGTCCTGAGGGCAATTTTAAAAAATCCAGACTCCAGGAAATAGAAGATCTCTTTTTAGTGGCAGCTGGAACAGGCTTCACACCAATGGTTAAAATACTGAATTATGCTTTGAGTAACATACCCAGTCTCAGGTATGTCATTTTATCTTAATTACTATTGTTTGTGAGGCTGTTTAATTAGTGTCAGGCACTGGTGGTGGTGAACCTATAGTATGTGTGCCGCGGCCATCTGTTTGTTATCATTGAAAGCTCTAAAAGGTTCGCCATCAGTGGAAAGTTATTTTAAAATGATTGTTATTTGGAACTTACTAGGTTTGCTCTTATTCTCTCATTTGTCATTTCTTATTCTGCCTCCTGGAGTCATAGCTATTTTATTAACTTGGTTCTTTTATCTCATTAAAGTCTTTGATATATTTTTGGTTACCTAATCACTTCGAAAACCTATTCACCCTAGTTAACCTTAGATGCTCCACTTGTAATATATATGTTAAATGTAGTTAATTAGTTACATTTAATACTTTTTTTTCTTTTAAGGACGTTGAAGTTGATGTTCTTCAATAAAACAGAGGATGATATAATTTGGAGAGGCCAATTGGAAAAATTAGCATTTAAGGATAAAAGGTATTATACTGGTGTCAACACTAAATAATCATACCTGTGTACTAAGTCTAGTCTTTGTCTCTCTAAGTTTTGAATTGACAAGGAAGCTCTTCAAAGAAAAAAATATAAGTTAATTTATCCTTCTAGAAATGTAAATAATGTTAATGCCCCTATGCCCAAAGAAATACTACTGTCTGATATAAATCTAGGTATGTATTATATAAATATACTGGACTGAATTGGGTTTCATTGAAAATGTTCCATATAATCAGTTTGCTAATTCAAGATTTTCTTGTATAAACGTGCAGATAAAATAATCTGATGAGGATTAAATAAAATTAAAGATACTACAGAATTTCTTAGAGCCCTAGTGGGTCCCCTAGAAGAAGATTTCTTAGTGATTTTTTTCTAGAAGGAGATTTATTGTTTAGCAAGGTTGTCTTTGTTTTTGTTTGTTTTCATTAACATTTATTTGTAGCCCTATTACTAGTATACACCTTGGGAAATACTGTTGTAATCAAAAGAAAACAATTCTAGTCTAATGGAGCTCAGAGACAGGATAGCAAATTGAAAATTTATTTTATGGAAAAAGGAGTACAGAACCATCAACTAAAATAAGATAATTTAAGTAAACATATGCAGCTACTTCCCCTAAAAGCATTGAAAACAGTAAGAAGCTCAAGAATAAATTTCTTTTATAAGAATGAATCAGACATGCTATCAGTCTTTCAAAGCAGTTTTATAATCATTAAAAGCTAGAATTCAGGGCTTTATAAGTTGAACAAAGTATCTGAAGTAAAAGCAATAGTCTGATGTAAGTAAAATCCTAGCCCTTTTTAATAATTAAAGACCTTAGAAACTTATCTATCAGAGGGTTCCTGGATCTTATAAATGTTTTCTAAATATCTATAATAAGGTAATATGGTGACTTTTTCTATTTTTTTCAGTCTCTGTTACCTTCTATTACCCTCCCCTTTTTCTTTTAATAAAGTATTTTCACAAACCTGAACCCATTAATCCCTACTGAATAGTTACTGTTATTTATATACTTAAAGCATAAATATTTGCTATATTTAGGCAACTGTATAGCAATTTAAAGAATGACTTGAATACTGTTCTTAGGTTCTCATGCATCTTTTACGCTTAGAAGCTTTTATTAAGAAGCCTAAAACCTATATTCATGTGATTTGAGACTATTCAAAATTACTTTGCTCTATGGACCTGCCTTTTTATCTTCCAAATATAATAGTGACATTTTCCTATTTATTTCATTAAGAAATGTAAGGTTTGGAAAAGCAAATGTAAATGCTTTGAAAACTGTGAAGCCTTTCCTAGATGTTTGGGTTATGGTTACAGAGGACCTCTGTAAATGTGTGCTTTCTATTTCAACTATTAGAGTTTCTATTTCCCCAAACAAACATTAATGCCAGCACTCTGGGAGGTTGAAGCAGTAGGATTGAAAGTTGGAGTCCAGCCTGGGCAATTTAGCAGCTTAGTGAGACTGTCACAAAGTTAGAAAATGAAAAAATGCTGAAGCTGTTGCTCAGTGAAAAGGCCCTATGTTCTGTCTTCACTATCAATCAATCAATCAATCAATAAACAAATATTTTTGGTACCGGGGATTGAACTTAGGACCTTGTGCTTGCAAGGCAGGTGGTGGAACCACTAAGCTAAGTCCCTGGCCCTATAAACAAACAAACAGACAGACAGACAGAAAATGGTAGACATTTTAAGAGAAGTTTTAAAAAATATATTTCTGGTAGGGTTTTTTTTTTGGTACTGGGGATCGAACTCAGGCCATTGCACTTGCGAGGCAGGTGGTGGAACCACTAAGCCAAATCCCCAGCCCTTCTGGTAGGTTTTTGACCGGAGTATTACTTAAGATAAATCTCCTTAAAAAATTTATAAATTTTTAAAGGAAAGTTACTGCTATTTTAATGAATAGACATTGTAATTTCAATCTTTTCATAGAAGTGAAATATGATTTACAAATTAACTGGTAAAAAGGAACGTGTTGACCGCTTCTGAACGTAAAGTGTCTTTTAACAAAGCTGCATGTGTGCTTTGTTTTGTTTTGATCTACGTAAACGGGGTTGGTGGAAGTGCATGGACTGGAGAATTGAGGGTGAGGAAAGGCCCCCTTTTTTCACTTCTGGATTCTTGGCTCTAACAGCACTCACCAGGTGAGTGGTACTTTCCAGCTTGCTGAGAGAAGTGATTCTAGCCTACCTTTATCTTCCCTCTTTTGCTCCATCACTTTCTCCTGTTGGTCACCTATGTTTGTTTGTGTTCTCTCCCTCCTCCTCCTTCTCCTCCTCCTCCATTTTATTTTTCCTTTTTCTGTAGACTTAGCACTCCTTGCTTGAGGTGCTAGATGGATGTTGTTTGATTTAAGATGTCTATAGACTCCTGGCCTTTTTTGAGTGAGATCAGTTGAGGTACTTGCTAGAAAGAAAAGGGCCATGCTTACACAGATGGCTTTAGAATGTTGTCAAGAATTGTGCCACAGGCTGAGGCTGTATGTGGGAATAACAGAACCTTAGCCTTAAAGGCTTATAGATGAGTTTGAGTAATGCTCTTCAGTCAACTCACAATTGTTGTTAAATTACTATTGAATTGTGCATATAAAAGTTCTCTGAAATCATAATTAGAAACATTGAGATACTTTCTAGAATCAGATCTCATCCTTTCACTCAGTCTTGGTGGTGGAGTTTTGAAGCAAATCAGTAACTATAGAAGCTATGCCTTCAGAGGAACAGATGATATGTCACGGCCGTCTAGGGATAAGAAGGAGTAATTCTATTTTTGTGAGAATGGGGGTATCAGAGCTGCATGGAAGAAAGAGCTGGGCTTTGGGAACAAATAAGCATTTCTGTGAATAGGAAAAGAACTGTGGGTGGTACACAGGTAACAACATGAGGGCCAGAATGTTTTAGCACTTTGCTGACAGAACAGAGTTCAGTTTTGTTCTTAGCACCTTTCCTTAGCTAGAGAAACTAGGAAAAGCTAGGGCCCCAAGTACCGTGAGTTGTTAATATGAGGTCAATGAGGAATCACTGCAGTTTTTAAAACAAAGAAGTTAGAAGGTTGGATCTGTATTTTTAGGAGAACTAATATGGCAGTGAATTATCACCCAGATTTTGGCTAAGACTGTTAAGAGTAGTATTTTAGATGGGATTTAAGGACCCAATTTAGCATTGTAGCATAAAAATAAGAAGCAGAGTGGGTGTGTGAGCAATATGAATGAGGTAGAAAATAAGTGGCTGGGTACACAGGATATGCATGTGTTTTAGAATGAATACATTTATATCTCATGACTTATCTGAGGTCACTGTCAGTCTAGTTTTTTTTGTTTGTTTGTTTTGGTACTAGGGATCAAACTCGGGACCTTGCGCTTGCAAGGCAGGACACAGAACCACTGAGCTAAATTCCCAGCCCTGTCAGTCTACTTTAAAACAAAAACTTTTAACAAGTGACTTACTTTCATTGACTTTGAGAATACAGAGGCATTTATCAGAAGGTCTCTTGTTCCTCCTCCTCCTCCCATGATTTTTTTTTTTTTTGGCATTTTATGGGTTTTCTGAATTTTTAGGTAACCTTCTCGAGT